TATTAATTAATTCTAAATTGTAACTAATTATAATTAATATTAATTCTAATTAGTTATAATTAATTAGTAATTAATTATAATTAATACAAGAGAAAGTAAATAGATATTTTCTTTGCATCGATCTGCGTGCCAATTCCATCGATGTCCCCCTCACCAAGGTATAACCTCCTAAACTTAAAAAAACTCACCCTCAGCGCTTGCAACGCGGCAAATAATCACCCATGCGTGCTTTTCTTAGCATGGTGGAAGGAAGTTCGTTGCGGTGCTAGCAGCGAGGCGGGTAATCCTCCAAAAAGTCCTGTTTTCGGCGTTTTGCAACGCGTTGAGGGACCCCTTATGCACGCTTTTCTTAGTGTGGTGGGAGGGAACTAGGTGCAATGCCTACGATGAGGTAGCCAAAATTTTAGTGAATAGAGGACTTGGACTTGGACTTGTATTCGGACACAAAATGATTTATAAAATACTTGAACCTAAGTAAAATGAAAATAAAGAATTTGGACTTGGATCTAATTTTAACATTACATGAACTAGACTTGAACTGAAAAAGGACTCAAAGTTGACTTGAACCACAAAAGACTTGAACTTGAATTGAGTTTGAACTCAAGAAGACTACAAGGAACTCGAGCATGAACTGGACTTGAGCAACAAAACAAAGAACTTGACTCATACTGAACTCAATCAATTAACAATGAAGAACTTTCTTTGAACTCGAATTGAACAACAAGGAAGTTTGAGCATAATTAAACTTGAAGCACAACTCAAAATAAAACTTGTAATTTGCCAAAGTGATTACCTCAATTGAAATGCAAGATAAGGATCAAGGAAAAGATACAATGGCATGCTTATAACCCATAACATCATATTGTCACTTCCATTGGGATGCAAGTGTCAATCAAGCGAATTCATCATACAAGATTTTAAGTCATCTTCATGTGACATTAGAAGGCTTATAACATTCAACATGACGGCGACACATGTATATGGAACAATCAAATGATCGGTGATAAGTAAATTTTTGCATACCATTTGTAGTGAACTAGCCTTCAACATAAACTTGTGGGCGGAAACTCTCAAATAACGAAAGATAAAAGGAGTATGCAGTCTATTGTAAGTAAAGGTTTCTGATGAAAATTCGTCATGCAAGCTACGATTTATTCCCAAGGAGATTGAAAGATTTGTAATGCTCACCATAGCCCATACACAAGCAACATAAAGCCTCTGATGTTCATATTGGTTAACTTATAAACTTGTGAAGAGAGCTCGAAGGCACCAACAAAGAAGAACCCCTCAAAGGATATACTAATTCATTTGGAAGGGCTCTTAATGAAGGCAATAAGACTTCTTACAAGTTTACATGACTAAGACCATAATGAGCACAATAGATTCCTTGCTAAGACGAGTAAAGAACATGTTATAGCCTACTTGTGAGCTCCTATAAATTGTTGTAAGGATTTCTTCATGCATATAACAATTGAACCATGAATTAGAAGGGTGGTGATGGAAGTCTTGCATCACATACAATGCTCTCATGCAACCTTCGTACAAGCAGACAGAAGGCGTCAACAAAGCCTAAAATAAAGCCCGGCGCATTCAGTAATAATAGTCACTTATGCAGTCGAACTCCCTTTGTATTGCGTGCAAACATCTTAAAATGCCCTCGTATATACATCGTAATTTGTATACACATAGGTACACAAAAGGGGGCAAGTGCAATCATAAAACCCGTATGAACGCCGACGAGCGTGCCATAGGAACACACGTGACATCTATGAATGCTACGCGGGTCAATAAATGAACGTAGTTCAAGTCCGATCCTTCTATATGGATAACTAGGAGTCGACACAGCTCGAACTATCAAATAGATATACGATCAGGATGTCGACCGGAATATCTATTTTATATGTTCATATAAGACCTTCAAGGCCTCCAACAAAGAAAATTCATCAATAAATGTATAAAGCCTATAAAACCTGATCCTTTATCGACAGCTTGATAGAGTCGACAAGGCTCATCCACAAAATGCAAATATTTTCAAATGAAAATGACCCCAAAATACTCGATGATGGTCGTGTTGAACAAAGATCTCAATTGAAGGGGTTAACTCCAACCTATTCAAAATGCCCTCA